AGAAGTGGGATGGAAAAAAAAAAGATGGAAACAAGAAGTGGCAAATCAAACTACAACTTAGCAAATTTGATGGCAGCAATACAAGAACAGCAAAAGAAACAAGAAGAATGAGAAAATAAACAACAAAAGAACAAGAAGAGAGATTACAGCAGTTGTTGGAGGAAAAAGATAAGAAACAAGAAGAGAGACAACAGTAGTGGCAAGAAAACCTGCAACAGTGGCAGCTCGAACAGCAAAACAAACAAGAGAGATTACAGCAGTTGTTGGACGAAAAAGAAAAGAAACAAGAAGATAGACTACAGCAGTTGTTGAAGGAGAAAGAAAAGAAACAAGAAGAGAGGCTACAGCAGTGGTTGGAGGAGAAAGAAAATAAACAAGAAGAGAGGCTACAGCAGTGGTTGGAGGAGAAAGCAAATAAATAAGAAGAGAGACTACAACAGTGGCAAGAAAACCAGCACCAATGGCAACTGGAACAAGAAAAGAAACAAGAAGTACAAATGGAAAAGATTAATAAATTTCAAAGTGAACTAAATACATTAAAGGATCAATTACTGTCTTTTACACAAGGAGGATATATTAGCCACAGACCTAATCAGCCCCATACAACAGGAAGCCCCTTCCAGACACAGCAGCTAAAGCCTAATGCAGACATCTCCAGTCCTGCCTGAAGTCACATTGCAGGCATGAGTGTCAGTAATAGGGGTGATCTAGTATGAAGGAAGCCACAGGAGATCGATGGGAAGGCACTTTGGGAAGAATATAGAGCACAATTTGAGCTCCTGACAGAAATGAAGGGATGGACAGAGGAGCAGAAAGCTGTGTACCTGGCAATGAGCTTGAAGAGACAACCACTGGAAATACTTGAACAGTTGTCAGAAGACGACAGGCACAACTATAGAGCACTTGTAGCTGCTCCAGAACTCGGGTATGGAATGCGAAATCAGTCTGAAGTATACAGGGCTAGGTTTAGGACTAGAATCCGTGCTAAAGGGGAGATCCTGCAAGAGCTGGCACAGGATTTGAAAAGTATGGCACACAAGGCCGACCCAACTTCACCACCCGATGTTTTAAAGCTGTTGCTGAGGGATCAGTTTGTAGATGCCTTGGACAGTTCACAACTGAAGATACAAGTAAAGCAAGCACACCCCTCTAGCAGTGGAAGACCCATATAGGCCAGCAAATGTAAAGATTGGAAGATCACTTGTGGCAGGTCATCAAATAGTACCCATAACAGT